ATTTTTTTTTCACTTCATAATCACTATAAACATAGAAGTATTAGAAAAATTAAAATCCAGTCTTCCATTTAAACAGTGTATTTTAGTTTCAAATGCTTTATACTTCCTGAAAAAAAAAAATTAAAAAATCACAACTTACTTGCTTAAGACAAGACATTAAATGAGTGAAGTCAATAGCGATTTTCCCATTTTTAATAAAAAGGAAAGTCATGAGTGATCAAATGCTGTGCTACACAGTCTGTTGATTTTTTAAGGACAACCAAATTAGTACTACCTCCTTTCCTGTACTGCGTGTCTTCAATTTTGGTCAAACAGTATACACAGAAATCCAGAGACAATCATACATATAAAGAACCACCAACAAGCCACAAATTTTCACAAGTACTTTCTGAGTATCATACTACAGGAGAAGAAGAATCTGAAGACGAGGTTTTAAAAATACTTACCCTATCATTCATTAGCAAATCTTTAACAATAAAAGTGGCAACCAAAGATTTCAAAGGGGCAGCAAATTGATCAGGTGCTAGCATGGCTATATGGCCAATAGTAACCAACGGTGTAATGAGATGCTCAAAATTGCTTGGATCCAGACTTTTATGCAGTGGCTAGAAAAAAGGCAACAAATTCAGGTATTACTGATATAATCTGTGTCTCATTGAGAGGAGGGAGGTGAGAACTCTGTACCAAGTTGTCCATGTCTATTTCTACTTCAGAAATACAATTTTAAAAGAACTATTAATTATTTAGATTTAAAGATACATTCACCATCAAGTCTCCTACAAATCAAAAGAAAAATCAAGTAGAAAGATAAAATGTTTTTCACATCTGGGTAGTTCAAAAAGTGGCAGCTCAAGCAGGACCATTTGGGCAACAATGGATTAAAAAGTGTATTTTCTTGTTGAAGAAGTGGGCATACTACATCTCAAGGTGGCAATTTCAGTAATGGACTATGATTCAGCCTTCAAGACAAAAAGCTGATGGGCACTAACTAAAAAGTACATTTGCAGTTATAAATATAAAATCTATTTAAATAGTCTTTACCATAATTCAGTTTTCCATAACTTCTTTAACCATTTAAATACTTTGAGTCAATCCCAACAGGGGCGAGGAGTGGCATATGGCTCCTTTCCATAAATAGTTCATGGTTCTAGCAGACAGTTCAACATTTTGGTTTACTCTATTGTCTGTTAAAACACAAAACCCTAAACATGATGGATCATGGGATGCTAAAAAATACCCTCTGCTACCATTTCTCAGGCCAAAGTGTATGAGAACAAAGGGAAAAATATCTTTTCTGAATTTGATACAACTTGCCATATAAATTGCCACTACATCCCTTGTTTACACATGCAATACCAAAGATCAATAAAAAGTAACTTAAATATTTTAATATTACCTCAAATATCTGTGCAAACTGTGTTTCTTTGCTGGAAAATATTGCATGGATGCAGTGAATAGCATACTTAGCTTGACGAGGGGGTCCCTTTTTAGCTTTATGATGCAACACTGGAAGCAAAGCACTTTAAAAAAAAATAAAAAAAGAGATAAGTACTTCTTCACAAATTAAAATTAATCTACCAAAATAATCAAGCTACCAAAGAAGCACAGATATACATATATAGAACACAACACCTCTACAAAAGTGCTAATTCTCCTGGTTTTGACAATTTCTTCAAAGAAAGGAAAAGAGAGGCTTGCAAGTAAAAAAAAAAAAAACAACCCAAACTCGTTTTTATTGATAAGATATCATGTGGCAAAACAAACATTTTATCTGCAAAACTTACTAAATGCTCTTTTGGAAATATTCTTGTCTACACATTCTCATTGAATTACAAAGAATGTTTTTAAATTGCCATGTTATTTTATTTAGGAAAAAACATAAGTAATTCCAAATGGCAATAATAAAAATTATAGTAGTGCCAGTGTTGTATCAGCTGTCACTACTTTGGATATATTCATTTCACTTCCATTCTTCAAAAGGCACTGCATTTTAAAGTCATTCAATTCTCTCTCCTATTTTACCTGAAGTAATACTTTCTTCCAAAAGAATGCAGGATAATGCTATAGCATATATATGCAAAAGGAAGAATGAGAACTTCCAAAATCCCATATAGTGAAGAACACTACTCAGAGTAAGATATACAACTTACGATCGTATATGAGGAAAGTCTTCTTCAATTTTACTTCCTGTATTTTTGAAAATTTGTAATGCAGCTTCTGCAACTTTTTCATCATCCATTTTCAAGCAAGCCAGGAGAGATTCGAAAGTTTCAGCTGAATGAAATGAGATAGGGTGCGTAAATGAAAGTACCTGCCAAAATAAGATGAAAGCCATGTCAATGTTTTTTTTTAGAGGTTCACTTATATAGAACATTCCATCAGGAGTCATCTTCCACTGCCATACTGGAATATTTATAATACTCTGCCTGGTTTTGTCATGTGATCTACATTTCTCTTTTTCTGACTTTTTTTTTTCCCAGTACCTCCTAAACATCTCTGTCTTTATACATGATGTCATCAGTTTTAACTTATTTCTCCAGTCTTAATTTCTCCTCCTGTTATTGTGAACATGTACTTCTCAGTAGCTACATCTACATTAGCAAGTACTGGGTTACAGCAGAAGCAGGTCTTAAGAGAAACAAAACTGATGCTGTGGAAGCAGTATTCACATTTCAGGGGTTTTACTTCAGATTATTTCCAGACTGACTGAACCCACTTCAGCCACTGCAATGCAATACGTTTTTCTGAAGCCCATCTCATAATTTTGTTTCTCTAAAAGGAATCCAGCTTATGTGCTCCTAGACTTCATGCTTCTTTGCTAAGTGGAACAACTGCTTGTGCTCTGAAGTGAAGTTCCTAACTCTAAAACAGTTAACACAGACATACCCCATAGGGTCTCTAGTCCCTCAAGCTTTCCACAGCAGCTTACCAGATCCTGTACCTCTCCTTCAGACTCTTGGACTCTGTCTTCAAGTATGACAGTCCCCCCATGTTAAAAAAGACAAAAATCCTCATTTGATCCTCTCTGAAAGTTTACCTTCTCTTCATTTTTAAGTGGCTGTTGATTATCAGCCCCTTTCCATATATATATTCTGACCCATGGCAAAGAAACTATCCTAAAAATCTAGGAACTTCTTCACACAGTTTTCTGCTTTCACCAAGCTACCTTCCTCCCTGTTTTCATTGTATGACATTCCCTTTTCTAGACTCCTATTCTTGTCCTTTCTGGATTCTTCTCAGGATGTGCAGACCACTTTCTTCAGGTCAATCTTACTTCTCTTCCTTAAATGTGTCATGCTAGTTCATATGAATATGTAAATACTGACCTGGGACCCTTATTTCAAATATATAGTCCTTCATGACATGATTCATTCTTACTCAGATTCATCTTTGTGCTACTGGTTTTTCAGACTTGTACCTAAACATGCACATCTGGCTAAAGAATTGCATGCTCTCAGATGAACCTACTAGACCATTAGTTGATCTCAGATATTCTGAAAACTTCTGCATGAGCATCCTCTAGATTTTGAAGCCTCTGAAGTCAACCTACAGGTGGACTACTCCCAACTAAGGCGGTACAAGTACCTTTCTGTGCAAGTACAGGCAAAGCTCACACTACATAGTCTCTGTCAAAGACTGTAGGCTAAAAGCACTAAGTGGAACAAGAAACACTGTGATTGCATTTAAAAAGTTTCATGCTTTTAATGGTACTTGTAAATGACACAGTGATCAGCCCTTTTCCTCCTACGAAAAGGAGAGAACAGAGTAAGGAACTTTGTACAACGTCCCCAGAAATGCATCTTCATGGGTTTTGCTACGTTAACTGAGGCTCAAAGATTACACAGTTGAAATAGATAAGACCTCAATTTACAAGGAACTCAGGGGAACCACAGTATTGCACTGATATACAAGTACAGTTCCAAAGGTAGTATAATTATGTTCAAACAGCTGCTGATCTCATACACGCAAATACTGTTCAGGAGGGCCAGTTGTGATAGGACAAGGGGTAATGGTTTTAAAATAGAGGGAGGTAGATTCAGGTTGGATATTAGGAAAAAATTTTTTACCATGAGAGTTGTAGAACACTGGAATAGGTTGCCCAGAGAGGTGGTGGATGCTCCATCCCTGGAGACGTTCAAGGCCCGGTTGGATGAGGCCCTGAGCAACCTGATCTAGTTGGAGATATCCCTGTTCCTTGCAGGGGGGCTGGACTAGATGACCTTTGAAGGTCCCTTCCAGCCCTAACAATTCTATGATTCTATGATTCTACTTTTGACTTCGAGAAAAACTTCTAAATGATTTAAGATAACCTTACTTATGTGCCACATAAGATGACCATAGAGAACAAAAACCAGACCAGTATTCTTCCAGACAGCCACCACACAGCTTATAACTAAAGATACTGAGTGCTAATTAAAAATTATTTTAACACAGTTGATTGAGAGTTTCACATGCTCACTGACCACCAGGACTATACTTGCCTTAAGCAACTCAAGACCTGCTCTGATTGCCTGGTCAGTAGGTACACCCTCATCTTCATCATCAGCTGTTCCATCTATAGACTTGTTTACTTGCTTGATAAGGGCACTGAAGAGGAAAACAAAACATGGCCTTGTATTTACTGCAGTTCTACAGTGTATGACTGTTTTCGTAAGTTTAAGATAGAATCTTATTAAAGGAACTTACTTATAACATAAGCTTGTTATAAAACAAATATGTCAACTACATATATAATTTGGTTGTCCTTATTTCCTACCTAAATCAAAGCTCATGAAGCATTAAGTTCAAAAATGTTGATCCATCATGAATTAAGAATCATACACAAATTACTCTGGAAGGATGATCAAAGTAAGAAAACAATTTGAGCATTGCAAGCAACAAATTCTGGTAAGAATTACGGTGAGGTTACTAGCTGCTATGGATTCTTAATAATTGATGGAAAAAAACTGTTTACAATGTTTACTCTATAACCAAGAGAAAAAAAAAAATCATTAAGCAGCTATGCTAAGAATTGCTGAAAAATTTAAAAGACCTATCTCCTGGATATTCCAACTTGACAGTAACGCTTGTTTTTTTCTTACATTGTACCCTAGGAAGGGAAATGGTGATTATCCAAATGATCCTATTAGTGAGTGGTGTAGGCAGCTTCCTGATCAAGAACTAAACAATATTCAGAATATTCCTTCAGTACATCCTGTAAATTATATTTATAACAAAAAAAAAAAAAAAATCCCAAAACACCACCAAAAATTAAAAAGAAAAAACAAAAACCAACTTGGAGCAAATCAAGAGAGAGACCTCCTAGACAGACTTCCAAATTTTTTTTTTCTGCCTCTAACTGAACAAAAATTACTATCTATTAAAAAAAACAGTCTGACTCTCAAAAATGAAGCAGATATTTAGTGAAATTTTACAAAGATGGGAGATGAGTTCTGTGGCAAAATCAAAAAGATGTGCTTTTTACTACTTGTTTTTCCTTGCATGCTGTATGGCAGCCAGTCAATAGGTAGACTGTGAAATAAATATTACAGCTTTGTGCCACATGTGAATATGACTTCAGGTATACATTTTATATTGCTTCTGTGAATGAAAAAATGTATTTTCAAATTTAAAAATACAGATACACGTTGTACTTGATCCAAGATCAGAAAGAGATTTTTAAGTGAAATCTCAGTCGTTCCATTACATTGCATACATGACAGGCAGAAAGTGAAAAATTCAAGTACTTAAAAGTCAATTACTGTAGTTGTAATTAACAGATAAGAATTTACCACTATTTAAAACTAGTTGTTTTTAATAAGGTACCACAGATCTCAAATACAGATGTTACATAATCATTTCAGTAATTATTTTTTTTCCCCACCCATCACTTCACTGGCTTACTCTTAAAGTCTTGAGGCATCATCACCACAATCTTTACTTTCTCAGTTAAATTACTGTTTATGTCACTATGAGCTAATGTTCTGGGTGGAACGCTTCAATGAATAGCCACAGACAGAAATGTCATTTAAAATAAGTCAGTCAGTCACAAACCAAACTTCCCCCATCAGCAACAGATCCATTTTTACAGACAGGCTGTCCCAGCTGTGCAGAATGACAAATCAATTGTTTGTATGGCTACCTTCTGAACAAGGACACAAAAACAAGTAGAAACAGAAGAAAACAGTGCAGGTCACCTTCAAACTGCACCCACCCAATCTACTACTGCTCGTGCTTAAAGGCAAAATAACAAAACCCGATTTCAAACACTGTTGACTGTAGATCACAACACACACACACATAAAAATACCTAATGGATTCAGTATCAATGTGCACAGGAGCAATTCTCTCAAGAAGAAACTTTATCATCTCCAGGAAAGGATTTGTTGGTTGTTTTGGATTGCCCAGCTTCTTTGTTATTTCCCTCTGCAATATAAGATTCAATTAAATTTATAATCCGTTCAGTTCCAAAAACATTTGCGTACTTGAAGAGCAATCCTTACCACACATCCTTCAGCCTGTTTGCAAGAACACGTTGGGCTTACAAGCATTTCTAACTGACTTCTTATTTTTTCATCATCTTCTAGAACTTGTGTGAACTTTTTCATGAAATCTTGAGCTTTCCCTGGATCAGGAAGGTTTCCTTTAAATAAGCAAAAGAAATCACTATTTATTTTAACAAGTATCAATACTGTAAATCACACAAGTTTGAAACGTCACACCAAGAAAGTTTCTATGTGTAAGTTAACCAAGAAGGGTGAGATAAAAAAAAAAAACACGAACAAATTACAAGACACTTAACATGTGCAGATGTGTCTATGAGGATACCAATTTCTAAAAATGTGTGTATCCACAGACCTCCCCTGGCTATTGGCCTTCCTCGCCCTTCACACTCATTTTCAACAAGTCTGCTTGTTCCTGTTAATATTATTAACGGCTGAAGTTGACCTTAGAATGCAAAGACTATACTCCACAAAAAAAATATACTCTGCATTTAGATCATCTGACATGACAAATGTGAAAAATATCAAAAGGGTGTTTTTGCTAAATTACTCCTTCACTAAATGCAAGCTTTACAACAGCTTGCAACATTTTAAAAAGCCATTTTAAAAATGTGTTTCTTAAATTACATATTAATTTTATATTTACCTTTTATATTATAATAAGATAATTTATTGGCAAAGTATTAGTAAACTATTTAAGATGTTTCATGGTTATGATACAGTAGGTGTTAAACAAAGCTGCAGAGAATACAGTATAGTACTACTTGTTTTGAACTAATTATCCTGTAGTCCTAAGTATTGGTTTTACTGTTGTTTCTTTGTTTTAAATAGACCCAGAACTTAAAGAATCAAAAAACTACAAACTAATCAACTTTCATATTATAAAATATGAATCATATAACATTCGAGTCATGAATAAAATATGGATCATCTACATTTTGAATTAGTCCACAACTGATGCAGCCAAAATGTCATGTGACAAGCTTCACGACTGGTGACTTTTTACAGGAAGGAAGGAATTCTGCTTATAGTACTCTTAATTCTTTAAAATATACTGTTACAGCATTTCTGCTAAGATTTCTTATAAATGTCATCTGTTACAAAGCTTCTTTGTTACAAGCTTACCTTAAATGATTTTTAAAGCAAGAAAACAATATATTTTAACTGTAATTTTTACACAGTGTAAATACTTCAACTGACTTACTTGTTATAACCATCACTTTTGAGAATATAGCTTTACTGCTGGCATCTGTCTGCAAGTCACAAAAGAAAAATGTATTAAGTAAAAATTTACATTATATATTTCCACTTGAATACTGAGTGAGAAAATGTCCTTAATGCATTATCAACAAGTCAGCACTCATCATTTTGCTAACACATCAGCGTGTTAGAAATCAAAGCCACCAGTGCAAAGTTAATGCTAGATTGAGGAAGCAAAAGGTACGTCATGCCTACAGTAACAGTCTCACATATACTTACGTAAAATACTTTTTTTTTTACTTTTCAATCTACTAAATCTACTATATACCTTATGAACAGCAGAAATGGCTTATTTCTGTAACTGTTTTCCATCTAAAGCCTCTTTGTTTTTAAATATAAAATGAACAGCAAGCATTAAATTCACTTTATCTTCTAGCTCAGATATTGATTCTAAGTAGTCTCGACAGTAGTTCCCACCTTATTGTAAAGAACAGAGCGAGTCAATAGTAAGACAAGTGTTCAGCTAAGCAGGGAAGGCTGACAATAGCAGTGTCATTGTGAAAGCAATAACCAGGGACCACGACAACAAAAGAAAAATAAAAAGAAAACATAACTGCATTTCAGGATATCTGTGAAGCTTAGATTTCAGTGAAACTCTTGCTGATATAAAGTCATTCAACAGAACCTTAAATGCAAAAGTTAGACAAAATGGACTTTTATCTCATTTATTTTCCTTTTGTCAGTAATTCTTCTGGTACAGGATTTCAAATGCCACATGCAAAGTCCACCTTCGGACACAGAGTAAATGGAAGAAGGGGGAAAAAAAAAGGTACAACAATTTTCACAGCCAGGTAAAACTATATAGCAAGTACATTTTCTTCATGAGACTATATTTCTACAACATATCACCTCTACTGAAGGTAGACAGATTCGTTCCCAAGACACTTCTTCCCCACTTTTCGCTATAATCCACAGTATTCTACAGTCTAGGAAGTTTTATGGAATTACTCTGACGTTTGAAATATTAAGGAATTATCAGTAAAAATTAAAAAGGGAATCCTTAACTGTACAGCGAAGATAATGCCCTAATCATCTTCAGAAAAGTGTAGACAAAAGAAGAAGAAAAAAGCAGCTTTTCATTGCTGTATAGTAAGCGCTGTTGGACAACTCTGAAATCTTCATAAGTAAAACAAAAATTGGAATTTGAAAGAAAATTTAAGCTTACAGCAATGTTGTCAAAAGCATAATAGACCATCAGCTTCAAAACCATAACGGAAGCTGCTCTTCTGCCAACTGAATTCTGACAGATCACTTTGGTGACATAACTTACAAAATCTGCAAAACTTCATAAATGTAGGTATACAGTATCAACTATGGGCTCGAACTAAAAACCCATGTCCTTCCATGAAACAATTTAAATATGAAAACAATAGACTTTTAAATACTTTTCAGTGAAAGCTCATAATTAAAAAAGAACAGTATTTAGCCATCACCATTGCTAGAATTACATTTTATAGAACTCCCTTTATAAGAGACAAAAAGGGATAGCAGGCAGGCCTAAAAATTACAAACAAGAAAACAATGTCAGATGAACTCAGAAAGGAGGCTCACCTTAGATGAAAAAGAATTCTTCTCATCCAAGTTTAACATGAGGCAAATGAAGACCTACAGTGGGCCCTTTCATCAGCTTCATATCAGGAAAGGGCCGCTAACAGGTAGTGTTGCAAGACACTAGCATTTTCTTATAAAAGTCTTAGAATTATTTGGAGCAGATAGGGAAAAACTTCAAGACAGAGGTCAAAGTCTTGTTCAGGTACATCTGATTTCTTTGCATTTTGCTAATGAAATCTGCATATAGATCTCAAGGTCCAAACCAGTCGTATCGGCTTTGGAGATAACAAAATTACAGTTACAATAACCTTGGCTAACGCACGAAATGGAGGAGTATCCTTCAACTTTTCAGAGTAAATTCTGTTCTGCAGTTGACTACGAAAGAAAATAGGATTTTGAGTTCTAACATATTTGCACAATTTTTTTGTCATAAAAAAATATAAAAAGGAGATTAATCAGCAAATTGGTGGAAAATCTGGCAACGTTTGAGAATAATGGAAACCTCAGACAGGTCGAAGCATAACAAATACATAGCACAAGATTAAGACAAGCCATGTTTTTAGTGAACGTCCTCTCTACCTTGTGACATGGACACTTGGCACATAATTCTAGCCATTAAGTAATTCTGCAGAACTTTCTATCACACTTTAGTGCTGGAAGAACACTGTCATTTTTGGGGCTTTTGGCTATCACAGCTGAACAGGCAGGTTCAGACAAGAAGTGGAAAAAAAAAAAGCAGAAATCAGATCAAGTTTACAGGATCAATAACGACAACAGATACAGAATCTCCATATTTGCACTTCTTGCAAGTCAGAAGAAAAATACTAAAACTGTATTGTGGAGTATCTTTGGTTCTGACTGGGTTGGTCTTCTAATAGTGGCCAAGTCTTCAAGTACTGGCTGAAGCTCCCATTAAAACGGACCTTAAGTTGAACAAGCTACTAATCATTGATCTAAACATGAAATAACCTGAGTGAGAAGTATTCTTTTAACTTCTAGTAGTATAACTCCACTGAATAATGACAGATTTCTGTTTAGAAGATCTACTGTGGCACTTCACACTATCTTGCATTCATGATACGGAAGCATCAGAACAGCTATGTTTCTGCAGCAAATGAAGCTTGTACTCCAACACAACCCACTTTTCCACGTGTGAATAGGCAAGTTCGTGTGTTTTAGTTAACTGTATACCATTGGTGTAGGAGAAAACAAGAGGAGCTGTGATTTATGCTTTTGCTCTTCATAAAAATAGCTCATCCTAAAGGCAAGTTTGATGTTTGTTCTGTCTCAGATTAGGAGAAATTATTATCAACAGAAATGGAAAGTTTCTTAACACATTTTCAGTCTGCTCAATAGTGCTTACACTGGGAAGAGCTGATGAGCAAAAAAGGAGAAAGCCTGAAGAGTTTCACTAAAAGACAAAAACGTTTTTCTAAGATGAGAAAAAAACTGGGCTGGCAAGTTCAAAGATTTATAATCACAGAATACTCTAAGTTGGAAGCGACAACTGTAGGTCACCTGGTTGAGCCACCTACTCAAAGCTGGGCCTACTTAGATCAGGTTTTGCTCCAGGCCTCATCTAGTTGCATTTTAAATATCTACAAGGATGAAGATTTCACAACCTCTCTGGTCTATCTGTTCCCATATTTGATCACCCTTTCTGCATTTTTTTTTTTCCTTACTACCTAATCAAAGTTTCCTTGTAGCAACTTCTGTACACTGTTTCTTGTCCTACACCCTCTTCATGTCTGAGAGCTCTCACAATGCCCACACTTGCCACAGGGACAACACCTACAGGAGAAAAATCAACAGCTATGCTATCATGACTACGTGGAAAAATTCAACTACAGTGAAAAAGCAGATATGGTAACACCCAGCTATATTCTAAAAGATTACTAGTTTGTTTCAGTTTTGTTTCCTGAAAGAAAGTAAGAGTTTCTACAGGTCTGAATGGCTAATGGACGTTTGTCTCAAGATTATTACTGCCTCGGGACTGTATGTTCCTTCAGTTCTACTCCAGTTATGAAAATACACTCGTATCTGAAACACTATGATTTAATCATATGAATTAATTATCAATTTGGGAAAAAACAAAAAACAAAAGAAAGACAACAACATACAAGGAGCATCACAGAGAGAAAAGTTTTGGTAAAAATAGCTAAGCTTCTGCATTGAGCATGACAGGCAAGGTTTGGGTAGCAAAGGGCTGCTGGGTGACCTGTGCAGAGGTTCAGGGACTACCCTGTGCTGATCAAAGCCACTTCCAGCCAGCTCTGCAACCAGCAAACCAAGCCACTACCCAACAAAACTTCAACCATTCAGAGGAACCTATGATGCCTCTGAGAAAACATATTTAAGAAAGGGTGGTAGCTGCTAGGGCAACAAGAGAGATGCCAGGGCACAAAGGAGAGCAGAGCAGGAGAAGAGGGAGAAAAAACACCTCAGCAGAGGCAGGAGAGATGCCATGGTAAGGGCTGCTGGAGAAGAGGTGGAGAGGAGGCAAAGGGACTGCAGCCAGTGGAGCAACCCACACTGAAGCAGTGGGTAAGAAACAAGGAGCAGCAGAAGGAAAGGAACAACCAAGCCCTGACTCCCATCTCCTACGCTGCCATCACCTCACTGAAGGGACCAAGCACAGCATGTGGCAAGGGGTCTGGAGATCATGAAGTGGGGAAGAGAGGTATCCGAAGGGGAGCTGAAGGCTGTTTCTCTGCTTATTTATTTGTTTTTATTTCTCAATACCAGAATCAATAATTAGAAGTTTATGTCAATTGACAACAAACTAAGTAAAATCCCCTGACTCAAAACCGTTTTGTTGCCCACAATAGCATCTCAGACTATCTATCACAAGCCCCCTAAATTCTCCCACACAGTCCTGTTACTCAAAAGAAAACTGAACTGTAGAGAATTAGTACTTAATAGCAAAAGATATGATGAAAGTCACATGGACAAATGCAAACATGTCAACAGCATACACTGTTTTGAATGTGATGCTTTTACTGGCCTTTATCAAAACCTACGTGTTTAATTCCATATCATATTTGCTATTTTACAATTGGGAAAAGAACTTTCTTTACATCTCCCTGAAAACAAAAGGAAAAATTGAAATTTCACTTTCAGCTGAAATGCAGAAAATATGAAGAAACTAACTCAGGTTTTAGACACATAAGTGTATTTAAGTTAGACCACAGAATATAAAACAGTAGATGAAAAATATTTCAATAAAGTCACCAGAACACTATGGAGTACTGTTTTAATAGGAACTACTGCAGTTAGAATTTAATACAGCATGTTTTACACGTTTTAAATACATGTTTTCAACACACTAAGTCAAAATTCCGATTTCACTGCAATCCATACTAAAACAGTAAGAGATCCACTTTGATTTGGTAAGTCTTTTTCAGTCTGCAAGACAGTGGCATTTCCAAGCAGACACATTATATAATCCAGTATGCTTGTAAAAATGCAGTTACCCACTCTTCCTGTTCAGGTAATTCCAGCAAATGGAATTTATTCCATTTTATTCAGTCATAAAACTTTACTGTGGTATATAAGTATATATGCATATAGGGGGGAAAAAAAATACTCACACACGTATGACCGTGAGCATGTCAACACTTTCTACTATATATTATTTCCATTAAAAAAGCACCAGATTAAAGTTTTAGCACTAAAGTTGAGTTCTAATCACATTCCAAATTATATCCAGAATTTCATTTATTCCCTCCCCAAACATGAGTATGTACATACATGTAACTAAAGCAAATCTAAATTTTACATTATGAGAAGATCCTAAACATTCAATAAATACTTATTTATTTCCTTCTGAGCAAATTTCTACAAAAATAATCTAATCATTGTCTGATTATCTCCAATATAACATATTTAAAAAGTTTCCAAGAGGGAAGAGAAACAAGTAACCTGTTGAGATAAAAAGTCCCATTTCTCAAATGTTACTAATTGTACATAAGATAAGAAGTTAGGCTGTAGAGGTACTACTTCTCAATTACTTGATTTAGCAGTCAAAAACAATATGCTGGTTTTCCCCTCTTTCAAGAGCCAGAACAATTCTGGCAAGATATAACTCAAATACTGGGAGCAAATATTTTAGCATCAAGTGACAGGCAAAATCTTTTAAAAATTTCTAACACACTCCTGCCTCTTCACTTTTACTGACAAAACATATATACGTTTCCTACTGCAAGTGTATTTGAATGAAATATCAGTTAACTTTGACAATATTTTCTAACTGTCATTAAAAATAAGCTTGAGAGAGTCAAACAAATGGAATTAAAAATAGCTTATTCTTTTAAGTAAAACTGCATCTTCACTGTGAGATAAAGATAAATGGAACTCACTTTGGGTTGTTTTATTAGGTCAACTAAATCCTTTACTTGATGTCGTAGCAGATTTTGACATTTCCACATTTCATTCAATGCTCTAAAAAATAATAAAAAAGAGTTGTCAAAGTAATCTAATTAATAAATAACACAAACGTCCAATAAGAGCTTTTAAATTCTTTTCAACTTCAGACTCAGGAATGAGCTTATCACCTGAAATTTCATTGCTGTGTGAGCAAAGGCTAAATGGTTCCTAATGGCATGATATGGAAAACTTAATTGGTCATATTAGACTGGAACAAAGTGAGATTTTGAAACAAGTTTCATTTCAGATGCTTAACCACACTGCTTTTAAAAGAAGTATGAAGTAATTGATGTCTGGCCCATAAAGAACTCATTTGTACAAGCCTGAAATCACTCTTCTGAAAACATTTCAAGAAGCAGGCTAAAGCAGATGTTTAAGATTTTTATCATCAAAACAATGTTTTTCTTGCATTCAGAAGGCAGCTACTAGATGAATAAATTGAGAAAAGCAGACATGATTAGACTTGAAAGAGATGCGTTAGAGATATTCAACAAAACTGAAAATTACCACACTTTTCAGGAAAAATAAGCTATATGAGGAAAAAAAAAGTCAGTTTCATTTGAAAAAACTTCCAGAATCCACAAGTAAGAAGTCAGTTCTATATAACTAACTGATGATACCATGTCTTTAAAACGGTACTGATGCATACAAAAACTAGAATTCAGAAGTTACTTGTTGCCTGAAACAGCAAGTACTGAAAATAAGCCATTCCACATTTTTGTTAGGCTAAACTAAAAATCACTAGAACAGTAACTTTCTAGTATACTATTCTTAATTTTAGTTTGTTTCGGTTGGAGTATCTTTAGGCAGGCAATACAAGAAATGCAGGGGATTCAAACATCAGTTTCTCTGGTACCTGAAGGCTTTGGGGTTTTTTAAGCCATTCTTTGATACACAAAGGTTCTTCAGGTCTCCCACTTCAGAAAAAACTATATTCAATTTTCAAGTGACTGAGTACTACTAAATGAAAAACCAAGTAAAACTAACTAAATTCAGTCAAACTGTGAACATGACATCAGCAAAACTGCTATTAGTCAAATTAATGCCCACGTACTCATTTTAAGCTGGAGAAGGCACATAATGTAAGTAAAACACGTATTGAAGGAGGAAAGACAGACTAGTAACTCCTTCCCACTCTTAACTCATCCTGGCTGCTAAAACAAGGAGTATATTAATTGAGAAGTTGTCACGTAAGACCTAAGGCTATTCAACACTACTATTTATGCTATCTCTTTTCAGACATAAAAGGACTGACGTGCACTTAAGCTTCTTTGACATTACTTTTTTTTTAGCTGTTTATGGTTAAAAGATACCACACCTTGCTAGAAAACACCCTATTAGGTTTTTTCTTTTCAAAATCCCACTTGAAAAATAGATACTATTGCTACATTCTATTTTCTGACAGTTTTTAAGTTACTTTTGTCCAATTGTTAGGCTACTCAGAACAATTTCAAACTAATTTACAAAAATAATTGTATTAAAAATTTTGCAAGAAGTCAAAACCAGCACATACTTCACAGCATTTGAATCCAGTGTAGCGTAAAGGTAATATAAACATTTCATTCGTTCGTTGGTTTCCAAGTTGTGAGGGACCATGTACTGAGCAAAGATGCGTTCCACAAGTAACCTGAAAAATAGGATTAAGAAACCTTAAACTATAAAGGAACAAAGTGGCCTTGAATTGCTAAAACATTCATTGAAAAATTCTCAGACCTATCCGGAGATCAGTTGTTGCATATAAAGATGGGGTTATTCAAAAACCTAAAGGTCGAGTTACTTGCTTCCAACATAACTGAGCAAACTAAATAAAAACATATCATTACAGAAGTAGTACTGTTAATGTTACCAGTAGGACATTTAAGAGCTGACATCATCAAAATCAGATGTATTCACCTAGATAGGAACTAAAGGACTTTATAGAAGGATATCTCTTAATTATCAGCCCGAAGAGATGTTATCAGGTCACCTATAAGGGTCAGTATTGGGGTAGATTCATGAATCGATCTAAATAAATGGCCTAAAATTAAAAAAAAAAAAAAAAATGTTGATTACATCACATGTTACCATGAAGCCCAGAAGAAGAATTCAGATACTAGTCAGAAGGAGCTGACTTCCCTTCACCTGTCCCCAGCCTCTTCCTGAAGGGCTGAGTTTATCCCATTTCTTTTGCTTCCACAATAAAAATGCAGGTACATTCACACTGAAATTATTAAAAGTTTCTGCTATAACATGGAAGTTCCTTATTTGGAAACAGGAAGAGAGAATGGCTTGGGTCTGCTACTTGCCTAGTAAGTAAGTTTAAAACCTGTATGGTTTAAGCTAGAAATGAGAAGAAAATCCTTATACACAACTGGAGGGGTGGTCAAAACCCAAACCCTGCTAGTTTAAAAAGATCCCGAAGTTTAAGAAAAAATCAAGTGGGTGAGATTAGATCTGAAAATCCAGACAGTACTGCCCACTTCCATGGTACCATGAAATAATTGCTTATTTTGGAGATGACTGAGACTGCAACATTTTGAAAGGATTTGTACGGGTTTGCAATGTCGTTTGTATCTGATCACGCTGTGAAGGCCAAAGGCTCATTTCCAAAGACAACTAGATGGCCTTGATTAGTCAAGATGGACTAGTTCCCAAACTAGTTCCTCATGTGCAACCATCTAGTTTTCAATATGATCATATACAAGGTTATAGTTGGTATGACAGAGACAGAAGTCCAGGACAAGGCTCTAATTCATAGACTCATAGCATGGTTAGGGTTGGAAGGGATCTCAAAGATCATTTAGTTCCAACCCCCCTGCCATGGGCAGGGAAACCCTCCACTACACCAGGTTGCCCAAAGCCTCAGCCAACCTGGCCCTGAACACTTCCAGGGATGGATGGGGTATCTACAACTTCTCTGGGCAACCTGTTCTGGTGCCTCACCACCCTCAATGTAAAAAATTTCTTCCTTAGATCTAATCAAAATCTGTCCTCTTTCAGTTTAAAGCCATTGCCCCTTGTCCTATCACTATATGTCCTTGTAAAAAAACTCTCTCCAGATTTCCTGTAGGCCTCCTTTAAATACTGGAAGGCTGCAATAAGATCACCCTGAAGCTTTCTCTTCTCCAGGCTGAACAGCCCCAACTCTCTCAGCCTTTCTTCATAGCAGAGGTGCTCCAGCCCTCGGATCATCTTTGCGGCCCTCCTCTGGACTTGCTCCAGCAGCTCCACGTCCTTGTGTTGGAGACTCCATTATCATACAGAAAAACTAACCTTCTGCAGAGATGCCTTAATAGGTTACCACACTTGTCCACAGAATCACCTAGCGTTCATGATTGACTTACCGGTCATCAATACTGTTTTGATAATATATATGCAGAAGTTTATCTTTGATCCATGATATCTGTTTTGCAGCTTCTTTTCCTGCTTCCGATTGTAATGAATATTTCTTATATATCTGTGCAAGTCCCATCATAGCTTCCTTCCTCACTCTCCACTTGAGAAAAGAAATAGTAACCAGTTTAACAGTTCAAAACTCAAAACTGAAAAGACTGCAGAATTTCCTGGTAATTATTTCCTATTTTATATCAAAATAAAATAGTTTAATTTACAAAAAAGTGAAATCGAGTTTTAAGTGCAACATTTTCTCATTAGGGCATATATTGCATCATATCTATTATGCTGAACCTTTCAAAATCAGTTGACTACTACGCAAGTGTGCCTAATGAATTTAGAATTGTTACAAATTTAAGTCAACGCCCTTTCTCGCAGATCTATGCTGAACGCTTGTGATTGTATTACTGGTGTGACAGGGGAAAACATGTCACACCAAAGGAAAAAAAAAAAAAAAATCAGGTGATAACTTTCATTTTAGAAGTTTAAAAGATTCATAGATTTCTAGGTTGGAAAA